TTTTATGAAAAAATAACAGAAATAGATAAGATATTGATTTGGTGAAGTGCCGGACTCTAATCTGGGAGAACTGGGTTTGATTCCCCACTCCTCCACTTCGCCTGCTGGATGACCTTGGGCAAGCCACGGTTCTATTTATTTATTTATTTATTTATTTAGGCAAGCGGGCTCAGGGCGGCTTACAGGGGCAAAAGCCCACACATAAAATCCAATAAAACAGTAAAATCTTAAGAATACATAATAACAATAATAACAATAAGAACAGTAATAAAGTGCTTTCAGACAACAAGATGGTCGTGAGTGGTTATGGTGGTATCTTCAAGTCAGCCCCACTGGGGTACCACTGTCCAGTAGATTGTTCATGCCAGCCACATGTTGTTAATGCCGCACAATATATGGCTGAGCTTCCCAGGGCGATCCTGGATCCTGCTGATATTGCCACCGTTAGTGGTGGTGGCAGCAGCGGCCCCTATGTGAAAGCCTGGCGGAAGAGCTCCGTCTTACAGGCCCTGCGGAACTGCATAAGGTCCCGCAGGGCCCTGATCTTCTCCGGGAGCTCGTTCCACCAGGTAGGGGCCGCCACTGAAAAGGATCTAGCCCTGGTCACAGCTAGTTTTACCTCCCAGGGACCTGGAACCACCAAACGGTTTTGGGTCCCCGACCGAAGTGCTCTTGGGGGTATATGTGGGGAAAGGTGGTCCCTCAGGTAGGTCGGACCCTGGCCATATAGGGCTTTACATGTTTCTAGCATTATAGCCTTGTTGTTTGCTATTCTTTGTCCATGTTTTATTTGCATGCTTTATCTGCTCAATTGTTTTTTAAAAAAATATTTGTTTTTATTAATTTTTAACAGCGTAAACACAGCAGAATTAAACACAAAGAGCAATTACCGGCTCAATTCAACAGCTTTTCTTACATAACTCCCACAGTATCACAGTAAAGTCAAACATTTGTATAGACTAAGTACCAAACAGTTAAAAGAACAACAGCTTCTTGTATAGCGGGGTTTTTGGAACTGTTTCACTATTTTCTAAATAACTAATAATAGGAAACCATACTGCCTGAAACCACTTTTGGAATTTCTCTGATTGCACGGCTGAAGAGTTGTAGCCACAAACAACTTTTGAGGACTGACAAAAACAAACATGCTTCAAGTAGACCTATGCAGGGACAACTGGGCTTCCTGTGGGAACACATTCTTCCTGCTTCCTGTTCAGTTGCCCCAAAGCAAGAAAGTCTGCTGCTTGCACGCCAACCACAAAGGTACAATAGCAGCAGGCCCTTCCTATGACTGCAAACTCAGATCTTGAATGGAGGCTGAAGTTGGTTCCCAGTTCCCAGTTCCCACTTCCTTATTTGCAACTTATTCATGAATTCAACCAAAAACATTGAGGAGAGTTAGAAAGCTTGGAACCCCAAAATCAGGATTGGACCACCGTATATCATACACCCCCACATTCAGGGGACTCACCCCTTTGATGGGAAATGGGCTGTTTCCTGGTCCAAAGTGCAGTTCTAATGCCAGCTGCTCCAAAGAGGGGTGCCCCCAGGACAATCACATAGCAGACACTGGGGCCAGGCTGCACCCCAAAACAATCTTTGGACCACCCCAAATGACACATCCCCACACTCCAGAGACTGTCCCCTGCAAGAAGACATACAGTGGAGCCCAGGGCTATTTTTGGGCAGGAACGCACAGGAACGGAGTTCTGGCTGGCTTCCAAGTTGGTCATGCCCAGCAGGAACTCATTAGCATAATAGGCCACACCCAACAGCAGAAACCCATTAGGATTGGCTACATTAGGGGTGTGTGGCCTAACATGCAAAGGAGTTCCTGCTACAAAAAAGCCCTGGGTTTGGACAACAAACAAGGTAAACAGAATAAGAAGCAAAAGGTGGGTGTGGCTGGATGAGCACACTTGTGGTAACATGGGTGTGTGGCCTATAATGCCAATGAGCTGTGCTGTCAGGGGTGTGGCCTAATATGCTAATGAGTTCCTGCTGTTGGGTGTGGCCTATTATGCTAATGAGTTCCTGCTGGGCTTTTTCCACAAAAAAATGCCCTGGTGGAGCCCAATCCAAACACAGGTTCTGGCAACATAACCTTCTATTTGGAGTGCCTCCAAGAAGCCTGTATTTCAAAGAAGATTGGAATGAGTAACTGGATTGACTGCATGCCCTCCGCACCCCAAAATAAGGTTTGGACCACCACATGTCATATACCCATACATTCAGGAGACTCTCCCTTTCGAGGGGACATATGATGTTTCTTGGTCCAAAGACCAGTTCTTGTGCTAGCTGCTCAAAAGTAAGGTGCCCCCAGGAAAATAGCACAGGCAGACACTGGGGCCAAGATGCACCCCAAAATAATCTTTGGACCATCCTAAAAGACAAATCCTCACACTTCAGAGACTGTTCCCTGCAAGAGGACATACAGTAGCACCTGTTCCAAACACTGGTTCTGGCACCACAAGCTTCTATTTGGAGTAATGCAAAGAGGCCTATGTTTCAAAGGAGATTCAAAGGATGCCCTCTGCAACCCAAAATAAGGCTTGGACCACCATACGTCATATATCCCCACATTCAGGGGACTCTCCCCTTCAGGGGACATATGCTGTTTTCTGGTCCAAAGTCCAGTTCTTGTGCCACCTGCTCCAAAGTGGGGTGCCCCCAGGACAATAGCAAAGGCACACACTGAGTCCAAGCTGCACCCCAAAGCAATCTTTGGACCACCCCAAATTATACATCCCCACAGTCTGGAGACTGTCCCCTGAAAGAAGGTGAAGTGGTGCCTGGTCCAAATGCAGGTTCTGGCACCACAAACTTCTATTTGGGGTACCATCAAGAGGCCTGTGTTTCAAAGGAGATTTGAATAAGGAATGGTACAACAATATGTCCTCTGCAACCCAAAATAGGGCTTGGATTGCCACACATTATACACCCTCGCTGTCAGGGGACTCTCCCCTTGGAGGGTACATATGCTGTTTCTTGGTCCAAAGCACAGTTCTTGTGCCAGCTGATCCAAAGTGAGGTGCCCCCAGGACAATCACATAGGTGGACACTGAGGCCAGGCTGCACCCCAAAACAATCTTTGGACCACCCCAAATGGCACATCCCCACAATCCAGAGCCTGTTCCCTGCAAGAGGACATACAGTGGTTCCCAGTCCAAACACTGGCTCTGGCACTGCAGGCTTCTGTTTGGAGTTCCACCAATGGCTTTGGACCAGGAAACAGGATATGTCCCTTTGAAGGGGAGAATCCCCTGAACGTAAGGGTTTGGTGGTCCAAACCTTATTTTGGGGTGCAAAGGGCATGCAGTTTTCCCAGTTCCTTATTCAAATCTCCTTTGAAATACAGGCTTCTTGGATGTACTCGAAACAGAAGCTTGTGGTGCCAGAACCAATGTTTGGACCGGGCACCACTTTTAGGGGACAGTCTCTGGAGTGTATGGATGCATCTTTTGTGGTGGTCCAAAGATTGTTCTGGGGTGCAGCCTGGCACCAGTGTTTGCCTATGTGATTATCCTGGGGGATAATCTTTGGAACAGCAGGCACAGGAACTGTTGGACCAGGAAACCCCATATGTCTCCTTGAAGGGGAGAGTCCTTTGAATGTTGGGGGTGTATGGTTTCTTGTGGTCCAAACCTTATTTGGGGGTTTAAAGCTTTCAAACGCTTCTCAATACACGGAACTGGGAACTGGGAACCAACTTCAGCCTCCTGATCTTTAAGGGGTTGAAGGCAAGGTAGTTATATGAAGGCAAGGAGGAGTTATTTATAGGCTCTCTACATGAGAGCAAAGTTTGAAAAGGAGTAAAACATTAACTCCAAAGGCACAGTCTTGCCCCACAGGGCACAGTTGCACTCCGTTCATTTACAGGAATCAAAAGACTAGCTCCTCAACCTGAAAAGAGAGGCTGAATCTTTTAAACTTTATAACCTGCCTTCCACACCCAGTGGGGAACCAATGTGGCTTACATCATTCTCAACACAACCCTGTGAGGTAGGTTAGGCTGAGTGTGTGAGACTCGCCAAGGGGGCCATCCAGCAAGTTTCTGTGGCAGAATGAGGATTCAAACCTGGGTCTCCAATATCATAGTGTGACATGCTAACCACTATGCTATGCTGGTTGGTGAAAATGAAGTCAACAGGCCAAGCATGTCTCTGATACAGGCAGCAGATCCAGGATTCAAATTATGGTAGATAAGGGCTTCCCAGTTCAAACCTTCATTCTGCTCTGAAGTTCACTGGGTGATCCTGGACCTGCCTCAGCCTAACCTACCACACAGGGTTGTTGTAAGGATAAAATGAAGAAGTGAGAACTACATATAGTGCCCTGAGGTTCCTGAAGGAAAGGCAGGACGAAGAGGGACTAGATGTAAAACATGCTAGGTCCCAACTCCATGCCCCCCAGGCCCATTCTGCATGCAATATTCTTACTGCTCCCAACCCATGCAGCAAGGCATCTGGCCAACGATTAAATTTACATGGCTAGTCTCTTGCCAAACACCTGTTATCTGCATACCCCCTCCTCAAATCCTCGGAGTGACAGATCACTGTGAGGGTAAACTGCAGCAGGCTCTGAAAGAAAGTGCGGGAGGGGGATAGAATGGGAGAAATGAAATATCCCCCAGATGGAAGGGAACTGGTTTTGATGCAAGAACAACATACACAACAAAGAATCCACTGGGGTAGTTGCACTGCAATGCTCAGGATTCCCAGACACACAAATCATCACCTGAACAGGAGCTCAGTGGCCACAATGTGCCTAAAAGCCCAATACACAGTGCTGAGACACTCAACAAAGTTTGCAAACTCAGAAAATAGGAAGTGCTATTGCTGGTTATATTTTACAGGAATGGCAACTTCTTCACACTGTCAGCTTGGTGGTCAAAAGCCATCTTTTTGCAGCGGCAGAGTGTCTTCCTGAGGCTGCAGGATTACTCCTTGGAAAAGATCCCAGCCAAACACCAACAGCGCGAGAGAATTTTTTTTCCTTACCATGTTCTTCCGAGAGACCATCTTCTCTAACTTTCTCCCCATTCTGAGCAGTTCCTCCACCTGCCCCATGGCTCCGACAGCTTTGCAAAGGTATTCCGCTCACCCCAAATCCACGTCCAGAAGACCTTAAACACAGAGCAGCTCATAAAAGGGGGTAAGGCAAAAAAACCAGAAGAGAAAGCAGAATAGGGGAGTGGCAACTGGAGCACTTCTGAAAGACTGCCATGCAGTCAAAATAGCACCAGGGGGATGGGCTAAATATAGAAAGATTAAGTTGTGGAAAGATTTCAGAGAGGAGGGAGGGAGGGAGGAGATGGTGCGTGCTGCACTTACTGAGATGACGGTTCCTTGGTGGTGCACGGATCATGGAACCCAGCAGCATAAGGCTTTCCTAAACAGAAGAAAATCTCCCTGCCTTGGGATGACAGGGAAAGGAGATGAATTTATTTGTTCAGGAAAGGTCTATCTGCCCACCTTTTCTATAGCTGCTTTTCTGGTCTGCTCCCAGCCTGAGGGCTGTTCTGTGGGCACCACTTTAGGTTACTTGTAATGCAGCCCTAGGTAGTTCCAACTTTCAGCCTAAATCACTGGATTTAGAAGGCTTTGCTTGTGATTGCACTGTTGATGCAGATTTTAGGCTCTGGTGGAATCTTGACACTTTATATTGATAGTTTTATGGCTGTTTATCTGGTTTTGTTGAATTTGTTTGTGAGATTGTGATCAGGTCTGTGGAGAGAAGGCATGTGTGTGTGTGTACACACACTAAAGAAAACACTAAGGCAACTCATAAATCAGCATTCGACACAGCTCAAAATAATCTGAAAACTAAAATCAGCAACTGCTCGGCAGTTAAAATGGCAAGGTTTTTTAAAAAGGTCACAAAAGCTTTTCAAATAAACCATAAAATCAACAGTAAAAAAATAGATTATCTGACATGGTGTTGGTCAATTCACAAAACATCCTGTAATACTGTGTCGTCGTCGTCGTTCCCCCCTCCCCCCAGTTTCTGGAAACCTAAGAATAAGGCGATACCAAGAAGGGAAACACTAAGGGTAAAAGGTTGGGGGGTGCAGAGTTTTGGGGGTAGGCAAAGGGCCATTGTTAAATTACAACAGGATATCTGTTGTAATCAAGCATCTTTAAAGTGTTCCTCTGAACTTGATCAGGGCGGGTGAAAAGTAGGGGCCATCTTTTCCATGGAGATCTCAGCAGTCCTTTTAGTGGTGGAGAAATGCTCTGCATACACTTGAAACAGGCTGTGGTGCATTCACTTTTAAATTTATTTATTTTTTTATTTACTTCTAATTTATACCCCGCCTTGCCAGTACAAACTGGCTCAAGGCGGCTTACAGATGTCAAAATACAATAAGATCAATAAATACTATTTTAAAAATACATAAAGAAGCCTACCGTGGAGCCAGGAGATCTCAATAACTATTAACCAGTTTCAAATGTTCAATTCCTTTTTTTTAACAATATATTTGTTGGGTTTTTTATAATATAGGTCTATATCATATACATATAAACAAGAACGTCAACAAAGCTACATGCAAAAAACCTAAAATAGCAGTTTGTCTTTTCAGCAACACAGATTAACAGAGAAGTTAAACAAAAAATGATTATTTTGTTCTTATATTCAACCTTTAGGTCAATTCTACATTGAGTAGCTACTTCTATCTCTGTTTCCTTTAAAATTTAAATATTACATTTTCCAAATTACACTGTCAGTTCATATTAACAGTATAAGATATTCATAATCACTGTTTACAATCATCATTATCTTAACCATTCAAGGTTCTAACCATTACTATTACACATCGTTCAGTAGTCTGCCAATTCTTTGCTTTTAGTGTAGGAACAGGGTTTAATATTACAATTTTTAAGTCTTTTTTCTTTTATTACCCTTTTAAATTTTCATTCAATCTCTACAGCATGTAAATTAATTTATCAATTTGTTGAAACCATTATATCAAGCTTAGCTTGAGGGTTAACTCTAATATTCGTTAAATAGAGTTGTATTCTGCCTGGTCTTTATCTTTCTTTGTTTGTCTCAAAGTTAACCTTTATCCAACACAATCATGCTAAACTATTAACAAAATTAATTAGAACTTAATTACACCATCGTGATACAATACTCTAACACCATTAAATACAATTAAACAATGATTCATCCATACTCTAACCTTTCCTATTACATTAACAATTATTCCACTAATCAGCCAATTCCTTATTTTTAATATAAATATCGAATATAAACTTAATAATCTTTACATATTTTACTTTTACTAGCAATTTATTGAGACCGTTATACTAATCTTAACTTATAGGTTCAAATTATCACTCAAAATCATACTCGACTATTATTAAAATTAATTATGATTTAACTATAATATTCTAACATGATTAACACCTTTAAACAATTAAACAATTAATCATCCTTATTATTACCCATTTATCTTTAAATATTTTACTTTTACTAACAATTTATTGGGACCCTTGTATTAATCTTTAGCCTGGAGATTCACATTGTCACTCAAAATCATATTAAATTGTTATTAAAATTAATTACAACGTGACTATAATATTCTAACATATTTAAACATAATTAAACACCATTAAACAATTTAACATCCCTATTATTACCACCACCTTTTGTCCTTAAATTACACATAATAACACTTTCTTAATCATCACTATTATACAACAAAAAAGTTTTTAAGGTCATTTTTTCCATCTAGGTCATGTATCAGAAGAAAACCAAATATTCCACCTTTCACACAATTTCACTTTCTTCTTATACATCTGTAGCCTGCCCTTCTGCCACAATATTTTTACATGCCTTTTGTCCTTATGGGTGTGATAAATTATTCCTAAACTTTCCCCTTTAATCTTCAGTGATTCCAGTTCCCATGTTTTATTGTCTCTTTTAAATTTTCATGATCTTTGCTTTGCCCTTCCCCCCCATCTTTTTTCCCTTCAAAGTTCAGCTTTCGTACTTTTTTTTTTTGAGTCAAACATAGTAAAACGTCTTTTTGACTTTTTTCCTCACTATTTTCAATGGAGGGAGTTGGGTCTCATCAACAACCTTCTCTTGGGAATACTCTGGGCTGACTACCTCATTCTGAGTACAATCCTGCTTCTTCTTTTTTTGAAACCCCCAAGAGGGTAATTTTATTGGTTTTTCAATAGACTACATAACTACAACAGAAAATAAAGGAAGGGGGACTACAACTGTGGATAAAGAAAAGATACCCACACTAACTAAAAACCCAAGAGTAGGCGATCATTTCCGTGTTAAACTACATATTATTAAATACATGTTAGTATAACAATATACTTGTGAGTTATTTTAACTACTGCTTCAATGTTAATAATTTTAATATTTTGAGAACACTTCTAGAGCATCTTCTTATTTTCATAGGGGTATTTTTCAGAGTCCTTCTGCCCTTACTTCTGTCTTCTTTCTCTGAAATCATACACCTTTTTGCTTGCTCCCGCACCCTCCCCAGAGTCCTCCCCCATTCCAGAGGTAGCAGAGTCACTCAATTTTGTTTCTTCATCTTTTAGTTCTGCTTCTGGCCCCAGCTGTCGTCTCAAAAATTCCTTTGCTTTCAAGATGGAGTCAATCTTCTCTCTTTTATTATTAATTTTAAAGATGACACCTTCAAAGATCGCCCAGCGATGTATTCCGTTTGTCTGCGGTTTTCCTGCAGCTTTTGTTTTATTTCCACCTCTGTCACACTTTTCCTCATCTTCTTGTTCCTGGTGTCCATCTCTACCAGCTTCTCAGTTGCCTGCTCCACTTTTTTCTCCGTCTCTGCCAGCTCACCCAAGTGCCGAGAGCACCGATGGGACCCGAAATGGGGCCAGAAACTGATAGCAGAAACCCCTAGAGTGTGTCTGGCTCAAGAGGAGCTGCTAGCTATTCCCCCCAAGTATCGGGACTTGACAAGGGTGTTTGAGGAGGAAGAAGCTGATGAGCTCCCACTTGGACTGTAGCATTGAAGTATTGCCTGGCCAGAACTACTCAAGGGGCATATTTACACAATGGGGCCAGCGGAGAAAGATGAACTGCACAAGTTCATAGACAAAAACCTGGCCCAGGGTTTCATCAGACCGGCCTTGTCCCCGTTTGCAGCCCCAGTATTGTTCCGGAAGAAAAAAGATGGGGGGCTGAAACTATGCACAGATTACAGAGGCTTAAATGCAGTGTCGTCAACTAATGCATATACCATGCCATTGATCAAAGACTTGCTAGCGGAAGCAGCCAAGGGGAAAATCTTTTCTAAATTAGATCTTCGGGATGCGTACTTTTGAGTGCGCATCAGGGAGGGGGACGAACATAAAACTGCTTTCAACACCCCTCTTGGACAGTTCGAGTATCGGGTGATGCCGTTCGGTCTCCAAGGGACCCCAGGGGTCTTCATGAATTTAATCAATGAGGTGTTGCACAAGCATTTGTTCAAAGGGGCCCTTGTTTACCTTGATGATATCTTGCTTTCCTCCCCCAACCTCCCCTCCCACGTGAAATTGGTGAGGGAGGTGTTGACCACGTTGCACAACCACAAACTGTTTGCAAAACTGTCTAAATGCGAATTCCATAAGACACACATTGACTTCTTGGGGTATCGGATCTCTGACTGGGGTCTGGAGATGGATCCAGGAAAGGTGCGCGATGTGCTGGGGTGGGGGGGTACCCCACACCCGTCGCCAGCTCCAATCCTTTCTCGGATTTGCGAACTTTTACAGAAACATTTTGCCCAATTTTGCCCAGGTCAGCTTACCCCTGATGGATTTATTAAAAACTAAGGGGAAGGGCCAGGAGGCTACTAAGCCGGGCTCGGCGTTGCAATGGAGTAAGGAGTGTCAGGAGGCTTTCGAACGCCTCAAAGCATTGTTCACCTCGGAGCCAGTCCTTGCCCACCCCGATGAAATGAGAAAGTTCATTGTGCAAACTGATGCGTCGGATGTTGCCATGGGGGGGGGGGCGTGATCCTCCAAGAGGGTGGGGATGGGTTGCTTCATCCTTTGGCATACGTGCCAAGGAAGTTTAATGACACTGAACGTAACTGGTCTGTTTGGGAAAAGGAGGCAGGGGCAATAAAGCTCACCCTATCCACATGGAGACATTGGTTGGAGGGGGCGCGAGTCCCGTTTGAGGTGTGGACTGATCATAGGAACTTGGAAATGCTTACAACGCCT